CGGCTGAAAGGGCGAGCATGGTGGGGGGGATGCGGATTCAAACCCGCAACCCTCAGATGGTGAGTCGAGCGTCTTATTCACCTGGCCATGCCGGTCCGGTTTGTTTAGTAGATGTTTGTCAGTATAAACTGTGTGATTGGAAGTTTGTTAATCTCAGATGTTCTGTAATGGAAGGTTTAATATATTTATTGTCGATAGAATCAATACTGTAGTACAAGTATATTATCATTACTTTTTACCTACTTAGAATATAGTACAAGGTTAATAAAAATTCAGTTGATAAAATATCACATATTAATAGTAGTTTACTTCCCTATACATTTTTATTGGCTATCTTAGGTGTTCCAATATTTGACGGTGGAACAGCCCACCTTCGTCATTTATAGGACTGTCTAAGGCACCTGATCTCATCCGTACAGGACGAAAAGTTTCACTAAAGGAAGCATTCGAGATAGGACTCGCTAATCGGCTTGTTGCATGTGGCACTTGTAAGTTTAGCTGGATCTGTTTGATTTATGTATAATTAAGGGATAACTTGGAAAAACCTCATTGTGCCAGTGTAAACCTGAATGTGTATTTTACTCATGATAGTGATAATAACTTTGATGTGTAAAAAATTAATAAAACGTTGTTTATATAAGCCTAGAGCTTTAAAAAACAACACAGAAACAATATTTGTTGGTTTTAAATTATTTTATTTTATTAATAATATATTTTCAAACAGAGGTAAGTGGTGAATATTTGATTGATTTTTTTACAAATTTTGTAGCATATTAGGACTTCGTCTGACAAATGCAGAGTATAGAAAACAAAATCATTGGACATTTACAACCTTCGGAAAAGCCGTTATTTCAAGATTTGAAAATCAATGGCACAGCTGGCGAAGACTTTGAATCTCTGGAATAGCATCTTTTATTCTCCAAATCACAGGCTGAACCAGGACCACAGCAGAAGGAAGCCCCACCACAGCAGTTGGCGTACTCATATGGACAACAGCCTAAGTGTCCGTTGGGCCGCCAGCAACACGTCTTTCCTGAAGAACAATACTCACCAGCGCCGCAGTAGAGAGAAGCTAAAAGCAGTGTAAAAACGGCATAAGTACTGAAACCACTCTGATCAACATACATGGACAATACACGTTAATATTATTTCACTCTAATAAGCTTAAGTAGCGAACAGGCGTTAATATTACGTAACCAACAAACTTCCAAATAGTGAATAACTTGGAGCACCAACACATGATGAAATACTTGAAGTAACAACATATCTAACACCACAATAACACACGACGTAATAGTTCAAGTGACAACACATCTAACACCACAGTAACACACAATGTAATAGTTGAAGTGACAACACATCTAAAACCACACCAACATATGATGTAATACTTGAATTAACAACATATCTAACACACGATGTAATCATATTTTCGTGACTAACCTCTGGTAACCACCACAACCAGGAGTAAGACTGAAATTCTCAAAGTCATCTTCATCTGAAACAAATTATAGAAGTTTTGATTAATTACTTTAATCTTATAAAGTAACATTCACACCAGATTTCAATCAGTTGTAGATGACATAACTTAAAATATGTCAATTTCACTTTATTATACACTCCCCGTACGCTTCAACAGTATGTTTTCATTCACTCGCCTCAGGTGACATTAGTTGAACAAATATTTTTATTTACCGATAACGGCCCTTTCCATCAGAGGTAAAAAAAAAAATATGGCGCCATTTTAAACAAAAGAACAAGTTTGTTTTATTTTGAGAGCTCTATGCTAAAACTTACTATGTAATCATCAGATTTATTACTGATCGAACATATTTCTATATTAAGAAGTACTATGTAATCTTCAAATGTTTCACTGATCGAAGAAATTTCTATATTAAAAATTACTACGTAATCCTCAGACATATCGAAGAGATTTCTATATTAAAAACTTGCTATGTAATCGTCAGATTTATCATGTGTGTGTGTATGTTTTCTTATAATAAAACCACATCGGGCTGTGTCGACCGGGGTGAATCGAACTCCTGATTTTAGCGTTGTAAATCCGAGGACATACCGCTGTCCCATCAGGGAACACTTATCATGATTAAACAGATTTCTATATTAAAACTCTACTATATAATCCTCAGATTTATCACTGAATGAACAGATTTCTACATTAAAAAGTACTATGTAATCCTCAGACTTATCACTAATCGGACAATTTCTATATTAAAAATGTACTATATAATTCTCAAATTTATCACTGATTGAACAGATTTCGATATTAAAAACGTATATAATCGTCAAATTTGTCACTGATCGAACATATTTCTATATTAAAAACAATTTAATCCTCCGATTTTTAAGTGATTGAACACAATTCTATACTAGAAACTTACTATGTATTCCTCAGTTACACTTTAACTTCAAATTTTATGATTAAACTTTAACTCTCCAATTAAACAAAGTAAAGTTTTATACAGACACTTACCTTTTAATAAGACTTTTGTGACTTTCTGTTGACCGTGATAATACAACCACGAATCTAGGAACGAGTTTTTATAGAATATGGAGATACTGTTATGTATAACAGGTGCATTCAAGGTCTAGGTTTTTTAAGTGTTTCACATGACAGTTCTTTCTACAAGAACATCAGCTGTAATGTTCTCAAGTTATCGACTTAGCTGTGTGAGAAAAAAAGTTCGAAAATAATATTAAAACATGTGCTTCAGTAAGACGGCCAGACACTTGTATACGCTAATAACTGATGTAGGATGAAAAAACTATCATATATTTGTCTTTTTTTTAATAATTCCAACACACGGTAAACTATGGCCTTGTAACCTGATAAAATTCCATATATCTACATGTTTTTAAACAGTTTCAACACTGTGATAAAAAAAATCCACACATTTGTTTTTTTTTGTAATAGTTTCAACACCATAGTAAATTATTTAACTCGCGAAATTTTCCGAAGTTTCTAAATATAAAATAATCTCACATTATTCTCGCCCTCTTTTTGACTTGGTGACCAGTTTTCGAACCTTAATTTGAAAAAAAAAATAATAAAAAATACGACATTATTTTATGTAAACAATACGTCCCCAGTGGCCCAGCTGTTAGTTTGAAGGGGGGTATAACGTTAATAATTTTGTTTCTATACTCATGGTGGGTTTAACACAGATAGTCCATTATGTAGTTCCGCCCTAAGACGACAAACAAACGTCTTGATTACCATAATTTGACGTAACTGCGAAATCTGTTTTACTTTTTGACCAATTTTACGTCAGGGTGGCCACATATTTTCAACTTTTTTTTTCCCCCGTGACTATTAAAATAAAATTCCAGATTTTCTGTATCTGCGCGCATACGAGACGCTGATGTTTCATCTTTTTTTCCTAAGTTTTCCTAATACCGCCTGTTTACCTTGTACATAAAAACTTCAGAACAAACTTACTTCAGGCTTTGGTAATACAGAAAAAATACGATTCAACAACGGAATTAACTTCATCAGCAGATAAAATAACACAGAGTATCTGACCAACATTATATACCAGTAACTGGTATATAGCTAAGCAACGTGGTTTATGCGCGTGTGCATGTTCCCCGCCTTTCTTTTCAACCCATTTTCAAATCTCTTGGTTTTCAAGGTTTGTCCAGGTTCATGTACTTTATTCAAACTTTCTTTTTCAATGCTATAATTTTTTAGATCTTAGTCTCATGCGCTCTCTAACTAATTTATAAATTAAAACATTGAAAATATAGCTTACGACACTATGTATAAGTTGTTTATATAAAACGCCCTCTTTTATTTAAAGAAATAAAAAATGTTTGATCGTTTTTGTGATTTTATTTGTTGTTAAAACTTTATGTAAATTGAACTTTTTCCGACCACCAGTTTGTTTTCGTATATTCGAGCAAAGCTTATTTGTAAAATTTTGTGCAGAGCTATCGGCTTTAATATAATTTAGAAGTGATAGGCTAGTGAAAAGGACTGATAAACACCACCCACCACAAGCTCTTGGGTTATTTTAATCAAATAGTAGGACTGACCGTCGTTATACTTTTATAGTAAAGTTTTTTGATTACCCATTCAAGCCGTCTCCAAACTTCTATTTTCTGAAAAGTGGGATCCTCGTCATCAAATTTAATCTTTTTATTTACTGCAACACCAAAGAAGCTAGTACCAAGCATTTGCCAGTTAATATCCCTGGGGTTTTATATTCCTCGTATTTGCTTGTACAACGTTCTTAATCCCCTAATACACTTTTGACCAGAATAAATGCATGCAAAGAAAAAAAAGAACTGAAGACAAAAATCGTATTTTTCACTTTCGCCTGTACAAGCAACGTAAACAATGCCTTAGCCTAGCAATTGAATAACTAATTTTCAATCTAATAGTTGAGTTATACTTAAGAACCATATTCTATAGCATCTTTATTCTGTATAGCGAAAACATATATATCAAGCGTAATTATTCACATTTTAAAAATCGGACAAATGTTTGTGCCTTTTTTCGAGTACCGATTAGTAAAATAAAAATAAGAAAAAAACAAAAAACGAGAAGCTGTAAGATTATAGTATCCCCTATCTTGGTAAAAAAATATTAATTCTATTCAACATAAATTTCGCGACTCAATTTGATATTTTACGTTTCAGCGCCAGCCTTATGGCGAAGTTTATTGTTTTTATTAAATATAATTTATGTATGACAAAACAATAACACTATTGATGCAACAGTACAGATGATGATGAAAACATATTGTTGTTTATTCCTCTGTTCTGAATGCAATAATATCAAATTGATACAACAGTACAGAGGATGATGAAAACATGTTGTTTATTCCTCTGTTCTGAATGAAATAATATTAAATTGATGCAACAGTACATACGATAGTGAGAACAATTTTGTGGTTTATTCCTTTGTTCTTAATGAACAAATAATAAACAACACAAAATATATATGAAATTAATGTAACAATACAGATGATAAGAACAATACGTTGTTTCTTTGTTCTTAATGAGCAAATAAAAAATTTATGCAATTGTACAGACAATGATGATAACAATATTGTTGTTTATTCTTCTGTTCTGAATGAAATAATCTTAAATTGATGCAACAGTACAGACGATAATAACAATTTTGTGTTGTTTATTCCTTTGTTTTTAAGTAAACAATAATGAATTGATGCAACAGTACAAACAATGATGAGAACAATTTTGTTGTATATTCCTCTGTTCTTAATTAAATAATATCAAATTAATGTAGTAATACAGATGATAATAACAATATTGTTGTTTATTCCTTTGTTCTTAATGAACAAATAATATAACGATGCAACAGTACAGATTATCATAACAGTATTGTGTTGTTTATTCTTAAGGAAACAATAGTAAATTGATGCAACAGTATAGATGATGATGAGAACAATAGTTTCTTGTTCTTAATCAAATAATACTAAATTGATGCAACAGTATAGATGATAACAGTATTGTTGTTTATTCCTCTGTTTTTAAATAATACTAAATTGATGCAACAGTACAGATGATGATGAGAACAATATTGTGTTACTTATTCCTCTGTTCTTACTGTAAAGATCAAAATATCTGGAGCACTACTTCACTCTTTGTTTCTGAAACAGGGGAGAACAAGGTTGTGGAAAACAAACTAGTTGGTTTTAAACTTACAGATTTTACATAGTTCTAACTTGAAGTTCTCTTTATCATGTTTGGTGTTCATTGAAAGTCATTTGTTTCAAATAATGTATGTTGTAAATCTACAAGTAAAGGGATTGTAGGAATTACAAACCAATGTGTTAAAAAGTCACAATCTTAAAATAAACATTGTAACTGTGACTTATTACAATTACTGTAAACAGTGAAGAAAGAACCATAATCTTTTTGTCTGAAATAAGCAATAGTTTCATGATTAACCTTCAACATCTAGTTTCTACTCTCTTCAATGTCATCTAAGGTGTCCTTGTTGTTGCATGCACCATTACAGTGGTAATCATCACTGCAAGGCGTGTTATTGGAACATTAATGACTATAGAAATTTCCAGAACATCCATAAAAAATGAGCAGCAGAACTGACTCAGGATCAAGGGCTTGGTCTGTCCAATATAGTGTCGGTTCTTTATTCTTGAGTTCCCAGCCATGCTTTACTGGACTTTGGAAGTGGAAGATGGCTTGTCTTAACCAATGCACATATAAAACACAGATGATAAATTCTGACTACTACTATTACATTACAATAAGAGGGTAAAAATGCATGGGATATTCATCTACCACATGTGTAAAGATTTAATTGTGTAACATAATTGTAGACTTTGAACAACATGGGGCACTTGGTTTGGTCTTTTTCTTTCTTATAGCAAAGCCACATCAGGCTATATGCTTCAGAGGTGTTTGGTTTTATTTATTTTGAATTTCAAAAAAAGCTATATGAGAGCTATCTGCATTAGCCATCACTAATTTAGTAGTGATTGACTAGAGGGAAAGTAAATAGTCAACACCACCCACCACCAACACTGGGGCTACTCATTTACAAATGAATAGTGGGTCTGACCATCATATTATAAACACCCCCACAGCTGAAAGGGTGAGCATGTTTGGTGTGATAGGGATTCAAACCTGAAACCCCAGATTGTGAGTTGATTGCCCTAACCAGCAGGCCATGCCAGGCCAGACAGAAGGAGCTAACAGTGTAAGTCTCTGTAGAAAGCTGCTCAAAATTTTGAAAATGTAATTTCAATGGCAAGAGAAACATCTGTTTTTGTTGTTGTTTTGTTCTTTTTACACCAGATCTAATTCTGAGCAAAAACTACAATAAATAAACAATTCTAAACTTCAACTTGAAACATGTTTTGGATTCAATCTCCCAAAAAATATAAAATCCAAAATATAATCCTTCTGAAGGTTCTGCTTAAATCTGAACCAAAAATCCATATTACTAGTAATTAGCAATAGTTCTACAAAGTGCCAAGCTGCATATTAGAGGGTTCAAGATTTACTCATCTTGATGTTGCACATGCTTTGCCCTTTCAGCTGTGACGCTCAGTTATCTTTATTGGTTCAAATCTCTGTGATGGCAGGTGCTGCTGACTGGTTTCTTTCTTTAAGTCTATAGTTCAATATTATAGATGGCTAAACCCTAACCTTTGGCCCATTGTTGCATAAGGTGCTGTTCAGATTGAAAATAACAATACAAAGGATGAACAACATGTACAAAAAAGGATTTATATTCATGGCAAAGGAACTTAGGCTATCTAATTCTGAACAATTTACTAGAAGGATGGCAGTCAGTCAGTCAGCAACACCTTACCAACAATGCTGAGGGACTGACTGTCACTTATATTATGCACCCACAGTTTAAACTAGTTTGTTATCATGCTGATTTTAACATGGCTCACCAGCTGCAGAATTTAGAGATCTACCAAAGTGCTAACCCATGCCCAAAAGAAACATTCATTACTCAAAAATGAAAGTCAGCTGATGTAGAAGAAACCAAACAGTTTTAATTTCTGTTTATGTCTAAAGGGTTGAGATTATGCATACCTACCAATTACCTTACACGTAATGCATGTGCAGGAAGACAGTACTTGCTGGTAGACATCAGTCAGTTTTCAGTCAAGAGGCATATAACCCGAGTTGAATCTCCAAAGAAAAAGAGATTGAGATATCTAGATTTCAAATCTGCTAAAAACACTTAAATAAGACATATAGTTTTTGATACAAATGAACTTGACAAAAAAAGTATAGAGATGAAATACAGAGATTGTAACACAGTTCAATGTCTGATAAAAAAAAAAAGCATTGAGATATCTAGATTGTAACACAATCGAAGCTGATAATAACATAGTACCAAGATACTTAGATTGTGACACATTTCAATGTCTGCACATTTCACTGAAAATTAATTTAGGCCTACTTTAATATAATCTGTTTGCTAATCAAATTTCCATGCTTCAAATAAACTTTGGTAACATTAATTTGTTACTTCCATCACTTCACTCTGTAACATAAATATTTATATATATATTGCAATTAAAGATCCACATTACCATATTATAATAACTTTATTGTGAAATACCTGGTTTGTTACATATATTTTCTGATTCACAATAACCTTTCCATATTAAGACTGCAGCTTGGGAAAATTTTATGTAAGTAATAGAATATTTGAGAAATAGTTTTGTTAACAGCACAAAAATTTTATTCAGATGTAGGATAGCCTGAATCTTTAGAAGATCTTAAAGCTATGAAACTAATATTGGTTATGGTCTAGAACAAAGGTGTGTTTTACTAACCTAGATAACAGGGCTTAAAGTCCAGAGGGTGGAACAACATGTCACACTGGTCCTTAGTTTCCACAACTGCCAAGCTACTAGATCTTTAGTGTGGAGTGTGAGAAATAACATATCAACCTGGTCTCTGTACATTCCACTACTACTGACCTAGCATGGTTTTCTGCTGGATGGAGGGGTAGAAAATGTCACCTTGGTTCTTACTTTTACAACTGAGCTTCTGTGGGTTTAGTCCATGCAGAGTCAACATATCATCCTAGTCCTTATTTTTTACAGCTGAGCTACTTCAGGCATCCATTCAGGAGAAGATCACAAAATGCTACCACTCCAGAGATCGCAGTTTCACAAACCACGCTGGGTTCAATACTACATCGCCCTGCACCATTACAAATTTGCAGCCGAAAATTCCAAAAAACTACCCTAGAACTTTATCCTTCAACAGTCATTTGAATTTATTCTACAGAATAAAGCAAATACATCCATCAAAACTTCCAAGACAAGACTAATACATAGGGGAGGGATTATTTTTCAATCCCTTTCAATCAATGACTTATATTACCTCTGTTCACCATGGAACTCAGTTCCTCCAGTGATATGCCAAGGACCAAAAAGCAATACCAAACTTTACTCTATTTTCCTTAGGAGCGTGGATACTTCAATCGCAACTGAGGACACCCACCAAGCCCTAGAAGACTCAACAAAATCCAAAATTAAAGCAGTACACAGGATCCAATCCAGAAAATCAGGCCAGCTAGCAAATTTCCTGAAAGTAACCACCTCTTCCAAGAAAACTGCAGATCATATTCTAACTCATGGATATTTTTTCTATTTTTTACATTTCAGATCCAAAAGACTCTACAGACGAACAGCACAAGACCACTTCTCTTCCAACACACCAGCAAGCAGGCAATCCACCAATCAATACTCTCTCAAACACCAAGACCAAGTACAAGCATACCAATAAAACCAGCCAGCCAGTCATGATAAACCAGAACATCCAAATAACAATTGAAGAAACCACACCAGTCCATGACCAAGAAACTCAAACAGAACCAGTTGAAGTCTCAAAAATAAAAAATATAACAGAAACCCCCAAGAAAAAAGAACCAAAAGACACATTTCCAGCTGAAAAAAATAAGAAAACTATTCAGACTGACCCACCAATGATCCAGATACCAGAAACAGCTTCAAGACTGTGCCAGTCAGCACAATGAACATATGCTTCCGCCTTCCTTCATACTGAAGAACAATGTTCTAACTCCACAGACTTCTACCCACCAGACTATGACACAAGCGAACAAGATTTTCAAGTTTTAGTTTCATAATCCTCATTAACTTAGCAAGATCTATTTACATCCACATGCATTTTCACTAATCATTCTTCTCCCCATTTCTAGGCATCTGTCATAACCTCTACAATCATATCAATGGTCCTCCAATGTTTATCGTAATCATTTAGGCAAGTAAACCAAAAAGAAATATATGTGTATGTATGTATACATAAATATATATATATTTCGATTTTGCATACTTTTAATGCTGGTTTCATAAAAATGTTTTGCGAGTGGGGTAAAGGGGGATACTACTATCCCTGAACACTCCAGTTGATGAAAATTTCTTTCCTTTTAAGACTAAACACCTCCTACAAATAAAATTAAAAAAAAAGCAATTTCAGGTTTAGTCCATCAGGAGGCAACATATTACCCTAGTTATTATTTTGTATAGCTGAGCTACTACAGGTTTAGTCTGGGGAGCAACACATCATCCTAAGTCCTTAATTTCCACAAACAAAACAATCTGTTAATTTTCTCTATATGTTTTTTTGTCTACTTTATGTTACTTATTTTCTAAATAAATGTCAGCACAATAAACAGGAAAATGATACAGTACACTTTTCTGTGAAATGCTACATTTGAATACACTTTAGGATGTCTTAACAACAGATACTGATGAACACAGAAATTATTGTAAAACAGCAAACGTTCTTGCTCTTCTCTTGTGCCTCTGGAACTTGTTTTTTTGTTAATATATCACATTAAGTATGTCAACTGTAACTTATACCATTAATTCCACTTCTTACCCTAAAATAACTCAGGACAAGAGAACAAAGCAAACTTAACCACTTGGATGAAGAATGATAATATAAAAAATCATATACATTCATATATAATTTCAATTGTTCTCAGTTTTAACATATATTGGTGGTTTTCATACTATTTGTTTTGACTAAGAATTTCTGTCTGTGATTTGTCTAAGTTTTTTTGTTTGTAATAACTTTTAATGATTTTCTTAGAGGGTAAAATTCCTTGAGAAAGTCCTGGCCGTTTTTTCTTTTTTCCCACGTCACTCTTAGAACCAGCTTCATCCAAACTATCTTGAAGTGTATAATCTCCTTGTTCTTGAGCTGTAGTGACCTCAGGCCTGTTGCTTGTAGGGATGTCACTGTCATGAGCAAACTTGCACTTGTGGCCAAAACGACATCGACCTTTCCGATAATTCCAGCATATCTGCCGGCCATTTAGGACTGTCATTTGGTTTGTGGGAGTTGTCATCTTAACATGCTTTTCAAGAAGGGAGTTTTGAATAATTTCAGCTGCTCGAAATGGATTAGCAAATACAGAACCTGATGATGATCCTGAGGGATGTAACACTGTACTGTTGATTTGGTCATCAAACACTGGTTTGGGTAATTTGTCCTTTTCCATTTTATCTTCTTCTTCCACTGTTTCTTTGTCATCTGTTCCTTTTGAGCTACAAAGTAAAGAAATATAATATTATTTATAAAAGAAACGTTTCTAAAAATCTAATTACTATATCTGACCAATTTTCAAGCTTTCATATATAGAATGTAAATAATAATAATAAAATCTTGCACAATGATATCAATAATTTCATTTTAACTACTCACTTCGTACATACGTTGGCAAGTATGTAAGAGCTATCTTCAATCAGTCGAGATAATTTTTTTATTATTAGGGCCTCCCTCTATCTCTCCACAAACTGCATGTCTAATTTACCAACAATATTGTAAAAACAGTGACTGACTCTCTCCTGTAACTTTTTTTATATTTGTGGGATTTAAGATCAAAATGTGAGGAGGCAAATAAAAAAGAAAAAAGCCTAACTTAATTATTTTGAATGTCATGTTAAGTTTTCTGTTCTGCTTCTACATTGGAGAAAAAGAATAGATTTTTTTTCACTACAACTACAAGTACAAACAAAAATGGCATACTTGCTTTTAACCTCACAGTTCTCATCCTTCAGTCTTCATGGCCATTATCAATGTAGAAGACCAAAATATCCTAAGTTTAAATCAGTTGTTCACAAACTTTTTACACTGACAGACAATACCCTAACCCACTTACCTTGGTTTGTGCAACCTTGCTGCCACATGCAATATTTTGTCAAAGGTTTTTTATATTATTAATTATTCTTCGTTTGGTGAAACTCTCGCGACACCCCTAGCAATTTGCTGTGACACACAGTTTGGATACCACTGGTCTAAATTAATTTTACATTATGTTCAGCACAGTGAGGATGAGAATTTGTTAAACTTTAAAGATTTGTGATGTTCTCAAGACTGCTAATCTCAGTTGACCTTAAATAAACAAAACTCGGATTCTAATACTGTCAGTGTCAGGTTGTCCAGCTTAACAACAAAATAATAATTTGAAAGCTAACAGTATTACTATTAGTAATATACTGCAAGTGTAACATTAACAGAGATGTTTCAATACTGGCTTAGCTTAGTTTAGCCTAGCCTGGGCTGATTTTCGAATTTCTAATTTACTGTTTTGTATTTAATATACACTACAACTAATTGAGCCATTTTTAAGATTCGTGAAAAACAAAATTGTATGAATGAAATGAAAAAAGGGCATACTTTCCATAAACACATATAAATTTACCTCGATTCTCTAATATGTTCATTTTCGCTTTCTGAACTAGCGCTATCATAATCAGGTACTAATGACGACGCCATGCCTTTAAAAACATTATTTTCGAAAATGAAATATGATTTCTTCCTAAAATCCTAAATAATTAGTTTCCTTGCAATAAATTAAAACGAGTTTGTTAATCTACCCAATTTTTATTGTTAATAGGTTAACAATAATTTCTTAAGCATACCGTAAAATTTGAGTAAATTATTTATTTTATTCCACCTTTTACTAGTGCTCATTGCCACTAGGCGGCTATTTGTAAACGTAATAACAAAACGTGCTAAAATTAACATTTAAATGTAAAGTTTGAACTTTGATTACTGAAATATTAATACTAAATACTGCTACCAATGCGACCCTTTGGATCGATATTCTGAGTAATGAAGTTATTGTGAAATATAAGTATAAATACTAATAACTATGCGATTGTGTTATTGGAGATTGAAAAATTGATATTAGAACTCTGACTGTTTGAGTTTTAGCCTAGACAGAAGCTGCCGAGCTTCTAAATACAAGTTATAACTAAACTAAAGTCAAACTGTGTCAAAATCAAATTCAAAGTACATTTATAAATTTCGTAAGAATACCCTGAGTATGACTCAAATTTGTTTGGCATAACGTTTAAATTTGTAAAAAAAATTGAATACTACAATGGGATTAACAGCTTTTAAACAATTTAAGTAAGGTACTATATAAAATTATTATTCATTAAGTAATAATATTCTATTTCTAATTTACATTTTAAGCCAGTATAGCAATTACTAGTATTAGTATTACTATTAGTGAAAACTATTTATGCAACTTGAAATTCAAGTTGAATTAATTAGAATGTAACCATCTAACAATGACTAACATCAATAATGGCTGGAGACGGCTTAAATGGGTAATAAAGAAAAACTTTAAT